CCCCAAAACCCCAAAACCCCAAAACCCCAAAACCCCAAAACCCCAAAACCCCAAAACCCCTTTACTCTAAAAATAATTGAATATTTTTCTCCTTAAATTACCCGAAATTCTCCAAACCCCTCGAGACATCATTTTGTGACTAAGAAAACAGTGAATCTTTCACCAGGTTGGCCTCAAGAGGTTATAAAGGTTCTAGTAGCATCTTCAAAAGAATTTTATACTCTAAAATGGTCAAAAATTGTCCAAACTGTTCATCAAAGTCTCTCTAAACTAGAAATAATCTAATTATAAATACTGCCAAATAAGCCTTATGATGTTGCGAGCATCCTGAAGTAGCATGAGCCTCTGGATTTATGCAGATAAAATAAACTCTAAATATCCCTGGAGGAAACTTCATAGCTTGAGAGTTAAGTAAGACTGAAGAATTCCAGAAAGAATGTATCAATTGCCTGCCTTGCTTTATCTAGTGTGCTTAGAGGCAATTTTGAGATTAAACTTTAGATCATTTCTATTATATTCAAAATCTCTCTGAACAAACTTTGAAGATGTCTATCCTCTTCATTTCCTGACCCTCTTTTTAAACTCCCTTGTAAAGTCTCTATGCTACATCTCCAAGCCTTACTACTGTTGCAGTCACCACCTCAGCCAGTATATGAACATTCTGTTGAAGGAACAGTTTCTCTTGGACTTGACCAATCTAGATTAATCCGGCTTCCCAGCTTATAAAGAAATTAATGAGTACTAATTGCATTAACTTCTACATTTTGGCTTTCTATTATAAAGCACAAGTGCTAAAGGGCAATTCCGGTTCAATTGGCACCCAAATCCCAAGAAGACTAACGCCTTGCCAAATCTCTTAATCTTGCTCTAAACTTTCCTACTTGCACGCTACCTTCCTATCTCCTCACTGAGACTAGGAAGTGCGTTAAAGGTAGCAGTGGGAGTATAGAGATAATGACCGAAACAGCATAATTTAGAGTCTTAGAGCAATATTTTAGCTTTGGAGCTCTGGATAAAGCAGAGAGAAGAATTTCAGTTAATCTATACAATTGTTGAACTATTTTATACCAGAGAAATCGATTGAAGAATTGTTAGATTTTTTGCCCAATTCTTTGAGAATTAGTACTTTGGAACCCATTTTTGAGAAAAAGAAAATTTAAAATAAGAAAACTCAGGAAGGATTTACTAAATAAGTTTTAGGTCAGCAAGATGAATGGTAGACTATTTGTAGAATTAGCAATTTTAATTTTCTTGTCTTGTTAAAAACAAATTTCATTGATTATTATCAGCGTTTGGAGTGTTTTACTGATGTCGTTATGTTAGAAGACGTTCAATTAAAGTTAAGAGCTTTGAAGGGTTCCAAGAAAGGGATTGAACAAAACAAGTCAGATTAGAAGCGGTGAGCTTGGTGGTTAATTAATTTCCCATTAAGTTTTATCCGGACAATTAGCAACATTTCCCTTGTATTGCCGACCCCGTGTGTTAACATTTCAAATAGGTGATATTATAATGGAAGAGAGGCTAGCTAAAAATTATTTAGATAAATTATTAGGTAGAACTTAGCTGGTTGAATACTCGTAAACTTGGAGTTTCCAAGAGTTTACGATCAATTAGAGCTAAGAGTAGTACTAGAGTACCCTCTCTTAGTTTAAGGGAGAGTTATAAACACTATATCTTGGTCTGGAGATATACACTGAGCCAGACCTAGGCTGTTCATTGAAAGATGGAGCTGAACTTCTTGACATGAAAAACCTTCTGTCTTGGACAATTGGATTTCCAGGCCTATCAAAGATAGGTCTGGACATGTTTCAAGGCTCTGAAGCAGCGGAGTTATCTGACTCAAAGAGGCTTGCTAACTCATCGTCTGCATCATTCTTAGATTTCATTTCATTTACGAGTTCATCTTCATCAACTTCTCTTGAACAGTAATCTGAGTCCGTATCTTCTTCATATGTTTGAGAAGATAGTGAATTTAGGGAAGAGTCTTCTTCAAAATGGTTTCTGTTGCTGGAAAACTCAGATAGGAACCCGTTTGGCACAGAAGAAGGCTTCCCAAAATCATGAACTTCTTGATTAGGAGAAGACATATAAGAGCCTTGTAAAGGTCTAGCTCTGTCAATAGTTTGCTTAGAAACTACAGCAGGTCTTAAGAAGCTACTATTCCATACTCTTGTGTTAATCTGGTCTGGACTGGGCGCAGGCTTAACTTCATTTCTAGCTTCTAAAGCACTAACCGTGAAAGTTTGGGAGATCATATTTGGAAGATTATATTATTAAGAAATAGAAACATCCCTATAGGGGTTTTGGGGTTTTGGGGTTTTGGGGTTTTGGGG